CCCCGGCTCGCGGGACCGGCGGTTGGGGACCCCTGCTCTAGCCTATCCCAGCTGTCTTGGGGCAGTACGCAGGGGACACCCTGAACCGGTTTCCAGCCAATCGCAGGGCACACAGAGACGAACAACCATCCTTGCTCACACTCACACCTAGGGACAATTTAGAGTGTTCAGTCAGCCTGCCATACATGTTTTTGGAACGTGGGAGGAAACCGGAGTACCCGGAGAAAACCCACGCAGGCACGGGGAGGACATGCAAACTCCAAATGTATTGATGTATGTGTTTATTTATTTATTTATGACAGGAGTGTCTTCATCGCACACTTGGAAGCATTTCCGGTGATGTTATTTCGCCACACAAATGCACACATGCACGCGCGGACCCACAAGCAAACACAACCCACACAAAGTACAAACAGGACGGCAAATAGATGTGCGTTTGGATGCAGTCTTGGGTGTGAGCCGACGAGAACACCTCCAGACCCACATCACCTGTGTTGCATCACTCAATGCTCAAGGCAACAGTAAACCAACTATTCACAATACGGTGGAGGTGGGAATTTTTCTTTTTTTGGGGGGGGTCGTCGCCGACACCAGGCAGATTTCGGTGAAAGTTAGTCATAGTCACTTCCCTGGAAGCAGCCATCCACACATGCAGTCGATATAAAAAGTCTAGACATCCCTTTGGCCATGTTCTTGTGGTATTTAAAACATAAGACAATGATAAATGATTTCAGCATTCATCCACCATTAGTGTGACCTAAAATCTATACACCTCAATTGAAAAAAACAAAACGATAATTTAAGACGAATGAAAATGCACCAATGTGGGATATTTTTCTCGCACTCGCTTTTGGGGTTGGCGTCTATCAGTGTGACACATCAGGATTTGTCCACTCCTTCATAAAACAGTATAAAAATGTCAGGAAAGGTCTACTAGAACACCTGAACTTTATTTGGGGTGAATTAGAGGCACTTTATGAATGGTGGCAGGTGAGTGCTGATGACCATTTAACGTGATTTTGAATGTGATTGGTTAATTCTGAACATAGCCACATCCCCAGAAATAAGTGGGTGTGCTCACTTTTGTAACTTTATTAGCGCAGTTGTTTATTTTTTACCCATTCTTTTTTTTTTTTTTTTTTTTTTTTTTAACAACCGCATGTTTATACCAGAAAAAAAAACAGCATTTGTGCATTTATTTTTGTCCGTGGTCTTGCTGCTTTTGAGAACAGCTAAAAAGATGCATGTGTTGTCCCCTTGTAAACAATTGATCAGGGAGCTGAGTCACTCAGCATGCATGTGAAACAGCTTTTGCAAGAGGAGACTCAGATTGGCGCTAGAAAATTGCATAATTCATACATATTATATTGAGTAACTAGAGCAGTGCAGTCGTTGCAGGTCAAAGCCAGACGTAACTCTGTCTATATCTTTGCCATTGTCCGACCACTGAAAGCAGGTTCACTCAATGTTCTGTTCTAACTGGTATGTTAAAAAAAGGTCAAGTCAAGTACAACTTTATTGTCAAATGTGCAGTATGTGCAACATACAACACAGATGAAATTTCTTCCCTCTCAAACAGACAAGACAACAAGAGGAGCCGCTGCGGGTACCCGTGCCGCCATCAACAGAACACTGTACATAAAATAACAAAATAATACAACACAACACATAAGACACAGACAGTCGTGCAGTCTCAACCACTTTTTCTGCATACACTTTGTTGTTTGAAGCGGTTCTAGATGAAAGAGGAGAGAATCAAAGTGTCCTTTCACCACTGGATCAGAGACGTCATGCTGAAAATGTGCACACGTCTGCTACAAGCTAAATTTGAAAGCAAACAAGAAGCTGTAGTGTCATGTCTAATAGGAAGAAATGCTCTTTTTATTGTTTTTCTGGGGGCAAATGCCTAATGGAAAAAGGATTCCAGCAACACGCATCCTCTGGAAGGAGACTGTGGTAAAGCATGCAAGTAAAATGGTCTTTAATAGCTGGCTTTTAAAAAAATATATTCTATTTGTCGCACCCATCCTCACTCATTTACGGAGAAATGAAATGTCCTAATTAAAAGACCTAGTTCGTGAAAAACTGTTTTGATTTTTGCTCTTGCCTGACTGTTATTACGCAAATCATTTTGGCCTCACTGTTTGTCTGAAGCACAGTCCCCTTCATGGTTGGCTGGCTGGCTCTTGGCATTCTCACCTGTTCAATGGCCAACCATGTCATGAGCTTGTCTTCTAATTATTCACTTCATAAGTACACTTTGTCAGCTTGCAAGTCGAACTTATTTTGTTTTCAAATTTAAAAAGAAAGGATTGATTTAAAGCACCGGAATGGTGCATTTTTGGTTTTTTTTACATGACATGAAAATCTGTGGAACAATCCCGTTACCTTGAACAATTTGAAGACTGCCTTGCCTTGCTCATGAAATAAATCAAAATGCATTTTAAAGACAATGAAACCTCTCTACCTCTCTATGAAATATATGGGAATATTTGTTGAAATGAGATTAGACTGGTCAAGCTTTAAATTGAACATCATATTTCACTGCCAGGTGTTAAAATGAAGACTTTGGTGCAGGTGTGTGCAACCGTTCCAATCTTGACCCCTGTTAATGTTTCTCCTAGCCAGAGCTTTGTTGACATTCTGGGCAGGTTCACTCTGAATGCTTCTCAGCGACTTATTTTCCTTTCATTGACACAGTGGCCAAAATGCCCCTAAACCAAAACGTTTTGAATCACTCTTTACTGTCACTTCCAAGAGTAACGCTGTTAAACTGCTCATGAAAATGTGCTGCAGAAATAATGGCAAAGGCTTTTGACAAAATAGAATATATTGATATAAAACATCTCCTTGAACATGCTGAACTGCCCGTCAGTGCTGAATTTGAATGTTCTCGTCAGAATTAAATGTGCGCTGCTATTGACTGGTGACCAGTTTAGGGGGTACCCAGCCGCTTGCCTTAAGTCAGGATGGACTATTTCCCGCCCGCAATCCTACTGAGGAGAATTGTGGGGTTAATTTAACCCTTTCAGGGGCAGCGGTTACTACAGTGGACGGCTTATCATCTTATCAGGTTTCTTAAATTCGCATTGTGCATCACAGCAATTTATTTTATTGTCTGGGAACATTTTCAGTGTGGCAATTTCAAATACAAATCAAATTAAATCGCATAATTTCTAGGCGACAAAGCTCACCTGATTTGAAGCCACAGCTGCTGAATTTCTCCATGAAAAAATAATTTGTACATATGGGCCGCTGGCATCAAATGAGTGAAATTAAAATGAGTGAATATTTGAAAAATGACAATTACCTTTTTGGGAATGGGGTTTGTCGATGAATGAACTCCATGTTTATCAATCACGTGATTACATCGATCTCCGCGTGTCACATGGCTGTAAAACAGCTGTTGTCTATTATGTTGCAGCGCACATGAACGGCAGATCGGAAGAGGTCCTGCCCCATGTAAACAGCGTGTTCATTTTGTTTGGTCATTAAGTTTAATATCACCCCCCAAAAAAAAATCCAGAAGTCAGAAAAATGCTCCATTTGAACCATGACTGATCCAAAGATTCAATATGAGCACAACCTCAAAGGCTTTCATGAGTCCACTGTGAAGTGTTCGTCATTGCTCATCTGAGACTGTTTGCAAACATTGAGCAAAAGTCTGCCTCTTAATATGACAAGCACCATGAATGAGGTCACATTATATTCGCAAGCACGCTGTAATTGTCACCATCATTACGACTGGCCGCAACTTTGACGGTAGTCACAGTTAACGCAAACGTAGCCCTCCACAGGGCGAACATTGTACATCGGCTTAATCTTGCTAATTTGTGCCGCGTTAACTCTACCTTGTCTCGGATCTTTTGCTTCTTTGTGTGTGTGTGCACGTGTGTGTGTGCATGTGTGTGTGTGTGTGTGTGTGTGTGTGTGTGTGTGTGTGTGTGTTTGGCAAAGATGTTGCAAGATTGACGCGATTGAGAGACGTGCTGTTGATATGCAAGGTCCGTGCTCCAACGATGACGCGTCACTGGTGTTTGCTGCTCAGTTTGGAAATGCTCCTGCGTTTTCAGTATTCTGTTATTTTCCCCGCCCCCCTCACATTTGTCTTCTCTGGTGTTGTCGCCATATTGCCACTCCTTGAATCCAATTGGTGAGACTGCTTCTGCCTCCTTCCCTCGCATAGACGATAAAACGCGATGTACCGGTGCGTCCCTTGAGCTACGCAATAAAATAAGCAGCCCGAGGCAGAGAAAATTCCTCGATCATTTTTTTTTCACAGCCGAGGTACTCCAAAAAAAAAATGACTGAGTACCTCTTTCACATGTAGTCATTTATTAGCGAGAGATTCATTGCCAACCGTAGGGGTGGCAACAGGGGTGGTGAGGTATTTGGTGGGGGTGGCGTCTGGCACCATCTGCATCCGCCAGAGACATGATATTATTCAGCAATAAATTGTATAAACTTATGTTTGCGACTCGTTCTAGGAAATAGTTTTTGTGTTCAAAATAAAATTCTGACAAAATCCGAATGAGAGCTGGTTCTTTTCAAAGCATGATGACATATTCAAAATGATGACATCATCCTGAGTATCCCAAAACTTCTGACCCGTTGGTTTCAAATGACACAAATGCAGTCTAATTCGTGTGAAGCCTCATCTGTCATGGTCGCTGTTTTGCTTTTCAAGTAATCCCCGTTTTGTTCCGCCAAGGTGCAGTATGTCATCCAAGGCTACCACAAGAGGCGGGAGTACATTGCTGCATTCCTCTGTTGGTTTCAAATGACACAAATGCAGTCTAATTACTCGTGTGAAGCCTCATCTGTCATGGCCGCTGTTTTGCTTTTCAAGTAATCCTCGTTTTGTTCCGCCAAGGTGCAGTATGTCATCCAAGGCTACCACAAGAGGCGGGAGTACATTGCTGCATTCCTCAGCCACTTTGGAATGTGAGTTAACAAGCGAGGATCATGTCCTCTACTCAAGGCTCGAGCGGCCATTCATTTGTCTCTGCCTGTAATCTTTTTTGAGACTGCATAGTGTATATATAATCAGTGTGTGACTGTGTGTGTTGCAGGGGAGTGGTGGAGTATGATGCCGAGGGATTTACAAAGCTTACCCTTCTACTCATGTGGAAAGACTTTTGCTTCCTAGTACACGGTAGGAGCATCACGAAAGAAAAAAAACACGACACCCTAATGTGAAGCTTTGATAACAAACCGCACAGCGGAACCTTATCGATAAATGTCCTCATTGTGTTCTTCCTCTCCTTCGCAGTGGATCTCCCACTGTACTTCCCCAGAGACCAGCCCACCCTCACGTTCCAGTCTGTGTACCACTTCACTAGCAGCGGGCAGCTTTATTCTCAAGTGCAGAAGTCGTATCCTTACAGCCCACGTTGGGACGGCAATGAAATGGCCAAAAGGGCAAAGTAAGTACAAATGTCATTCCGTGTGTTGTTCAGGCCGTGTGGAAATTATTTTGGACAATTGTCATGAGACTCAGAATCGGGTGACAAAGGTCTGAACGAAGACATTCACGCTCACTCAGTGAACTATTAATGTTGGCAATTATAATATCTTGCCGGGGCGCATCAATTATTTGCGAAAATTAGCGAATCACAGTCTCGCTCAGTACCCCGAGAAAAGTTGGGTTCCACTGTTTCACACTGCAGAATGGAAAAATTACAAATGACTCCTCCAAGTGAAAATCGCAAGTCAGCCAATCTTGAATAGAATCAGTGTAAGGAGACTGGAGGTGTTAGTTGAAGCTGCAGCACCCTACAAAAAATAAAAAAAATAAAATAAAAAATAAACAATTTTTGAGTTTGCTCTTGTCAAGAAGTAATTAATGCCTGTTGTGAACCATCTACGGCAGGGGTGTCAAACTCATTTTTGTCGTGGGCCACATTTGAGTTTCCGTTTCCCTTGGAGGGCCGTTATGACTGAAACCAAATTAAAAAGTCAATAATAACGGTTTATTCAATAGTTGAAGTTACTGTCATGAGGGGTTTGGTTCTAAGAAAATGATTACAATATGTCTCTTATTACATATGAAAATTTTAAATTTTGGTCGAGATTTTCGCAAGCATCATGCAAATTGACATGCTTGATTTGCTTCCGCGGGCCACATAAAATGACGTGGCGGGCCGGATCTGGCCCCCGGGGCCTCGAGTTTGATGCCATGATCTACGGAACGGTTAGCTTGCATGAAGCTGGAAAGGGTTCCAAAAGTATCTGGAAAAGCCTTGATTTTCATCTGTCATTGGAAAGACAGAACATCTCTCACTCACTTGCGTCCATATTTCATCACTACTGTACAGGTCCCAATTTTGAACACATTTTGATCAGCATTTGCCAGCCATCGTGCTTCTTTGTTTAAATCCAGCCCTTCATTCACAAACAGTGTTTTATATGCAATGATCTTAGAGGATCCCCTCCCTTTCCTCTCCTTTTCTTCCCCAGGGCTTACTTCAAGACCTTCATCCCGCAGTTCCAAGAAGGAGCCTTTGCCAATGGGAAACTCTAGTTCCCTGCGGTCCTATGAATGTGTTGCTACATGCCGCTGCGTTCCTGCGTGCACTCCTGTGTGCGCGCGTGGACTTCAAATCCTGTAAAAACGTATTCCTAAATCTGATGGGCTCTTAAAAATATTAGAATTTGCCATGGAAATGCAAGAAGTGCAAAATCTTCTTTTCAGCACATCCACCATTTAAAAAAAAAATCTGTTTGTTACTTGTTCTAACGCTTCTAAATTCTCATGAGAAAAGGCCCCCCACAGACTATTTGTGGAGGTTTCTGTATGCTGGCAGGAGAGCTTGAATGAAAGAGTCAGGACGCAAAGAGCAAAATTTCTGACTCTTCTACTCGAGCTTAGGCTACACCTTTTGCATTAGTGACCCTCCATTGCAAAGTGAGTCGCAATTTACTCAGCTACATCCTGAGATATGAGGCAATAATGGTTCAGTGGGTCAAAACCTTGTGGATTGTTTCACGTCATGAAAAAAAAATTATCTCAAAAATAAAGCAAAACAATCGCTCATTACTTTAGTCTTGTAGTTGATATTCACGTGGAGAATCCCCAACATACGGGCGTCAGTATGAAGCTGACAGTGCCCTTTTGTTCATTTCATACTTATTTGAACCATTCTACATCATTATGAGCTCATATTTGACCGTGAATCAACAGGATTTTTCCAAAACAATTACCACGCAGAGCAACTTGGGATGACCCAAACACACTTTTGAGTCATTGGTTTTAAAGCCCATATCACACTGAGTGGAGAACGTTTGCGAGTGTTTGTGCACGTAGCGAATGATGCTTTTTTTTTTTTTTTGTCGGCGTCAAATTTTGAACGTGAATAATTTCTTTGTGACAATAGAAACTGTTTGCAACCGTTGCAACTTCTGGTGAACACCTTGGCGACCTTTTGCAACCGTCAACGAACTCGCACGTCTTCGCAGCGCGGTGTGATACCACGTTAAATATCCGCCGATACCGAGTCCCATTTTGATACCTTGGCAAAACAATCGCAAAAAAAGAGCGTGCATCCAAATGAATGTTTTCACATCGTTCGCGTCTCCTTGTTGCTCCAAATACAATTTACGTTGTACTGCAGCACACACTGCACAGGCAAACATGCCTCTGTGCCTGTGTGCGTGTGTGCGTGCGTGCGTGTGTGGCGCTCTTACTCTCACTCTGACAGCTACCCCAACATAAAAATAAAAAGGAACATTGTGTAATGTACAAAGTCAAATGAAACTATTATTGTTTCATTTGACAAGTTCTTTATAGCTTTCGATTATTGGGACAATTTTTGACCTTTAAACATTTAGGAAATGAAAGAAAAAACGCTCTGCCCTGATCCCTGATCAGCTGAAAATGCCGTGATCGGATTGGGACATCCCAAATAGCAGCAGCTGCTATGCTAGCGTTGATGACCCCAAAATATTGGCCTCTGATTTGTCTATTTCTGTCTGTTCAAATAGCGTGATCGTGAATATACACCACCGAGCTGTAGCAGCACAGCTAACCATTGTGCTTATGTTGTGGGCCATGTTGGCAGGGATGACTTTCCTATCTAAGACAATGCTTGGACATTGAAAACAAGTCATAACTTGTTTGTTTCTCAACCGATTTTCATGCAGTTTACTTTTTTTTGTCAATTCCAAAGCGCGTGCTATCAATATATACCATTTGGGGAGGAAAAAAAACGAAAACATTTTTACTGTGAAGGTGCATCACCGTTGCCGTAATCGTATGGCGTTGTATGCAGCCGTAAGCAGCTCAGCGTACGGGCATCCTTTGACCTTTTGTTTTCTTGACGTCCACACACAGAATTCACGACTTTGACTCTCCTAGCTTCATGTCGCCGTAGACACGCAGCTCTAAGCGTGCATGTCGTATCAACCTATTCATAGCTGTGGTGATGACGTAATGAGTAATAATGATGTAATGAGTAGCCTAGTGCAGTGGTTGATATATCATTGGAAAGCTGAGATCATTCTCTTTTTGATCATGCCAAAACCTCATTAAAAAAAAAATATGAGTGAATGTGACTCATTTTGCTGTGGCAGGTCACATTTACGTTGTGTTACCCAAGCACTGTACAGGCTACAGGTAAAACCTTGTCCAGCTGGCGACATGATGAGATGGCACCTTAGCAAATAACACCTGAGGGATCCGGCTGAACTGGTTCTAGCTGGTTGTAAAAAATAATAGGTCATTGCTGCGAAGTGTATTTTTTGACAGAAACTCTGATGTGATGGCGTGTAAAATCTCACGTCTGTGTGCTCACACTATCTCGCATTTCTTTTACCTTGTGTTATGACCTCTCACAGCAATGCACAGCAGGAAGCCAATTGAAGGACTCTACGGACAGTATTAAAAAAAAAAAGAAGTATAAGGGCCTCACTTTTGTCCGTATAATGTATTTGTAGAGTTCGACGGACATCGTGTCCACACTTTGCTGTATCATTGTCATTTATGGAACCTTATGGAATTCATTGACGGAACTGTAGGCACAATATTTGACTAGTTTGCTGATAGTCTCTGTCAAATAAAATATTTAAGCATTGAAATAATTCCACCCTCTTCTGCGTTTATTTCATCGATGTGTGGCATGTGCTCATTTTGACCTTATAAAATGTGCCTCACTCAGTAAAGAGGTAAGTTACACTTGATAATGTGTCGTTGAGTTCTCCTCGATTGATCCTGTTACTGTAGAATTCGTGCTATAGAGCGCACTGCTGTATCCACATAAATTTGAGCAAAATGGCAAACTGCTAATATAACTGAGAAAAAAAAAACAAGTGGAAAAGGTAATACCGAAGTGAAAACGCTGTGAGTGACGCAACAAGTTCAGCGTTCAATACCATCCTGACCGACATTCTCATCACAAAGTTGAAGGACCTGGACTACCCATCCCCCACCTGCGAATGGATCAGAAGCTTCCTGACAGATCGACCACAGACTGTGAGGGTGGGGCCCCACACATCCTCCACACTGACACTCAGCACGGGCTCCCCCCAGGGCTGTGTGCTGAGCCCCTTCCTATTTACACTGTACACACATGACTGTACCCCCAAGTATGACTCAAATGTCATCGTGAAATTCGCCGATGACACTAAATTGGTGGGTCTCATTTCCAATGGCGATGAGACGGCGTATAGGGAGGAGGTACAGAGACTCGTAGGCTGGTGTTCATCAAACAATTTGCTACTGAACACCAGCAAAACAAAGGAGATGGTGATGGACTGGAGGAGGAAGAGAGCAGAACCCTCCCCACTACAGATGGGCGGTGTCTGTGTGGAGAAGGTCTCGACGTTCAAGTTCCTGGGTGTGCATGTAACGGACGACCTCAAATGGCATGCAAACACAGATGCTTTGGTCGGGAAAGTGCAACAGAGGCTGCACTTCTTAAGATTGCTGAACAAATGCCAGACGGGCTCACACCTGCTACACACTTTCTACCGCTCCACAGTGGAGAGCGTATTGACGTACGGCATCACAGCGTGGTATGCTGGCTGTACGGCTAAGGACAGGGATGCTCTGCAAGGAGTCATAAAGGCGGCACAAAAAATCATCGGCTGCCCCCTGCCAACCCTGGATGACATCGCTAACTCAAGAGGGCTACAAAGGGCAAAGAAAATCCTGACTGATCCATCCCACCCTGGCAGGTGCCTCTTCAACCTCCTGCCCCTGGGCAGGAAATATAGAGTCATGAGAAGCCGGACAAACAGACACAGAAACACTTTTTATCCCTGGGTAGTCAGGCTGCTGAATCTCAATTCCTCAAATCGTGTGCATGTGAATGTGTAGGCCTGGGGGTGTGCAATTTTACTTAATACCTCATGATATCTCTGACTATTTCAATTAGTCCGAAATAGTCCACATACTGTCATGTTAATCCCTGATTCATATCATTTTGTAAGACAACTTGGACTGTACCTTAACTAGTGCCGAATATCAAACATATTCTGATCACAATTTAAAACCAAAAAAAAATCCATTCCATAACTCTGACTATCAATTTTTAACGTGTGCGTGTGATTGTGTGTGGGTCTAGGGGAGTGCAATGTATTTATATATTTTTTATATTTTTATACTTCGCGACGCACTTGGGGGTGGAGGCTCCTGCAGAATTTCATTGTAACAAGTGTGCAATGACAATAAAGTATTCATTCACAAAAAAAAAAAAAAAAGTCAGAACTCGATGCAGCACAATTCTTGCAAAACAAACTTTGAGGAGCCGTGTTTTGTTTTTTAATGATATTTGACACAGGGCGACGAAAGTGGCCGATGTCAAAATTAAAAATACAAACTTTGAGAAATTATTCTTCAGTGTCAAATGATTCCATGCAAAGCACAGCAATTCGAAGTTGTCCAACAACTACACACGGGATGCCATCAGAGACTGTGAAACTCATTTTCATCGTGGGCCACTTTGTAGTTACCATTTCCCTTGGAGGGCTGTTATGACTGTGAAACCGTACAAAGGAGTCAAGAATGATTGTTTCTTCTACTATTTATGTGACTGTAATAAGAATAAGTTCGATTATTTTGTATTCTGTTATTATGACTTCAAGATGGCGCCGCGAGAGTGGCTGCCTTTACAGCAGCTCCTAGACTTTTTGTTCTTCTACTTTCTTCCTTTCATAACTTTACTGCTGTAAATTGGGAATTTCTCCATTGTGAGACGAATAAAGGTTTTCTTATTCTTATTCTTCAATTATTTATGTGACTTTAATGAGGGATTTGGTCACAAGAAAAGGCTTGCAATATCTCTGTTACTTATTACATGTAAGGTTTGAAATTTTGGTACAGATTTTAGGAAGCATCATGGAAGTTGAAATGTTTGATTGTTTTTTGCGGGCCACATAAACAGATGTGGCGGGCCAGATTTGGCCCCCGGACCTTGAGTTTGACACACCATTATGGTGTTATCGTCCCCTTCCCTTTGAAGCAACCACCCAATTGATTCTGTAGAACAGTGATTCTTAACCTGGGTTCGATCGAACCCCAGTGTTTCGGTGAATCGGTCTCAGGGGTTCGACGGAGCCTCTGCCATGGAGGTTAAGACACACTCGACTCAACGTGTCAGTTAGTTAGGATACGCCCGCTTGGCCATCGCTGGCTCCAGATGATCACATTACATTGCTTGTTTAATCAGTGCAGCGGGAAATTTAGTTCGCTCAGTCGTCAACATGTGACTGTCGTGATGGTATGTCATGTGATTTTTATTTATTTATTTATTTATTTTTATGTTTTAATACATCCTAACCATGTCGTCGAGCAAAGAAAGAAAGTGGTCGGGCGAATATGTACAACATGGATTCACATGCATCAAGGACTGTGACGGGACTCATTGTCCTATCTGCATGATTTGTCATGCCAAGTCTTTCTTTCTGTTGTTCATAAATGCATTTTTTATGTCTTGAATTTGTTAAAAAAAAAAAAATCATATTTTAATTTTTCACTAATGTAGGGTTCGATGAATGTGCATATGAACTGGTTGGGTTTTCGGTACCTCTAATAAGGTAAAGAACCACTGCTGTAAAGCATAGGTGTCAAACTTAAGGCCCGGGGGCCAGATGTGGCCTGCCACATCATTTTATATGGCTTCCGAAAGCAAATCAAATATGTCAACTTTTATGATTCTTGCGAAAATCTCTACCGAAATTTCAAATTCGCATTTGTAATAAATAAGAGTGATACTGTAAGCATTTTGTTGTTACCAAATCCCTCATTACAGTAAGTTAAACAATAGATGAATAAACCGTTATTCTTGACTTCTTTATCCGATTTCAGGCCCTCCAAGGGAAACTGTAACTAAAATCTGGCCTGTGACAAAAAGTGAGTTTGACACCCCTGCTGTAGAGCAACACAATTTTCTGCTTGAAAGTGAAGAATGTGTTTTTTTTCCCTGTCCTGAGCAGAGATTTTTGTTGTTGTTTTTGTTTTGTTTTTAAGTCTCATTGTCGATGGACTATTCCCAATATTCAGTAATATTGGGTCTTTGTCATCACTGTCAGGTTCCTGTCTTGATTATGTTTCAGCTCCAGCTGGAGTGAAGGGCGGGTCCCTCCAGCAGGCGCACCTGTGCCGCGTTTCCTAATCAAGCCTCGCCATGTATTGAAGGACAACCACGATGCCGAGTGATTGTCAGATTAATTGGCCTGGCTCACAACTCTGTCGCCAGCATTTTCGCCTCATAGCCTTGCCTCGTTCATCGTATTTTTTGTTCTTGTAAGTATTTTGCCTGATGTATTCTCAATGTATGTTTGTGTCCTGGATTCTCTGCAGTTTCCATATGTGTAAAACTCGACCTCTCCCCCCTTACGATGTGTCCTGGGAATCATTCAAGTGATTCTTCATTTATTTGTCCAATGTACGTTTCCATACAAATATTGCTCTTCCACTTGTGTAAAGGTATACTTTAGTGTGTACACAGGGCTGCTCTTTTCAAGCCCTCAAGTCCTTTGTTTAATAAGGAGCCATGGCGCAGAGGTTGTGTGTGTGTGTGTGTGTGTGTGTGTGTGTGTGTGTGTGTGTGTGTGTGTGTGTGTGTGTGTGTGTGTGTGTGTGTGTGTGTGTGTGCGTGTGCGCGCGTGCGCGTCATGTGAGGCAGAGTGTGTGCGCGCTTGCTTGTTTTCATCATTAAAAATGAGGGTCATAGATAGGGGTCCTTGCTGTCCTTAGGCGCAGCCTTTTGCTATATTTATTGTTGGTAATGCAGCAACTGTCACGTCTAATTGAGAACTTTAGGTTGAATGTTTCTGGGGCATTTCATAGCATCAAGGCTCTTAATCAAATAATTAAAAAGCAAGATTCTTTTTGTCTTTTTTTTTTTTTTTTTAAACTGCCTGGCTCCATGTTTCTTGTTGTAACCTTTGCTGACCTGCTTACAAAATATTGCTTTTGTCAGCCGAGGGACGAGCCGCTCGCGTTTTCGGAGAGTTGGCTTTGCCACTGGGCGAGTGGGGGGGGGGGGGGGTGGGGGGGGGGGGAGGCGGGTCAGGAGGATGGCTTGCGATCTTGAAAGAGGAGTTTGACTTGACAGTCGACTTTAGACATTGCAACTTTGCACTCCAAAGTTTGCGTCTGATTTGCTAGATTGATCCACGTCTGGTTTGAGAGTCCAGAACGTGAACTTTGTCAAAGTCAATCCTGGGTTTATGTTGGATGAAATATCAGAGGAGTGATTCAGCCTTCAACGTTTCTTTGAATAGAGACTGACATTGTGCTGAGAATTTAGTGACCTACTTTGTTTCCGGAGGGAGCACATTCTGTCTTAAAGTTCATCACTGAGTTTGACGTTGAACCAAGCTGACATAATCCCTTTAAGTAACTTGTAAACAATCCCCTGCAAAGTGTCTTTAATTATGTCAC